TGAAACTGATTAGCTTCCCCTATGTTTACTGTACATCCTGACCATTTACAGGAGACCTGCCAGTAGTTTTGCTTGTATTTTTTAGCATTTATGAGATATTGCTAAACTTAGAGCTGCCATCAAAAGGAAAGTTGCAAAGATATTAATATATGTCTTTGTGACCTCTCATGTTGTCTATTTACTTATACTAGGCAGCTGTTTGTTAACTAGTCTGGTTCATAATAAGATCAATTATAATCCTAATTAAGTTACTGACTTGCACATCTTTCACACAGTATTTCAGTATTCAAGTCTTTCTATTGGTTACGGTTTTAAAATATTTACAAAAGTTAGCATTATAATTTAGAATATCCTTCATGCTGTAGAATCTTCGTATCTTAAAGAGTTATTTTGGCCACACTTTAAGTGACATTTGCTCATGTTCTTTGTTTGGTCTACATTAACGTAAAGTGCTCTGGAATACCCTTGCACATAGCCAGGTACAATTTTAATTTGGTTGACTGAACAATTACATTTTCTAGCCATTATTTAGTATTTTTTGTATCATTTTCTGTATAGTGAAATTAAGCATGGCTGACCAGTACTTCCACCTGAATAGTAATTACCAAACAAATACTAAATCCTGTAACTTTTAGACTTAAACCAAGGAATTACAACCTCTTAAAGGTACAGGGTTTTAAAGTAATTCTATGATGTTTACACTTTTAAAAATATAAACATACAAATCATCTTGTTTCAATCAGTTTCAAAATGTTCTCAATGAAAAAATACAATTGGAGAATGCTAACCTGTTTTCCAGATTGATGTTTTTCCAAGCAATATAAAAAGGAATGAAGTCTGACCTGTTGTTCCCAGAAATGTTGAGAGAGAATGAGAGAACAACACAAGAGCTTTGAAGTGCTAAAATCGTCATTCTGTGCCTGTACTGTATTGTAATTTCTGAAAATAGCTCAATGATCATTTAAGTGCAGCTCCAAATGAGAAAATAAAATTAAAAACTAATAGTTTTCTTCCCCTGAATACCTACATATTATTCAATTTGAATATAATAATAGAAATTGAATCAATGAAGAGGAAATGAAATGTGGATTGTTATTTCTTTGCATTGTGTAAGAACTTAATTGTTTATACATTGTGCAGAATAGGATCCCTTTGATGCTCTAAACATATTTCATGTTTTTTTTAATGGCATTTTATTCATCATGGTACTGAATCACTTTCACATAATTATTTTTCCCCTGTGCCATTGAAAAGTAGTGAAAGATATAATTTTCAGACTGGTAAGGAGTAATTTAATTGTGGTTGAATCTCCCAAGACCTTTGTCTTGCTACAGTATACTGTTAATGAAAATGAATGGCTGTGTTTCATAGATCTCCTGGCCCTTATTAATGGCTTTTGTGTTTAGTCAATATTAAAAGCCGTGCACGCCATTATGGAGCTCAGTGAAATCGTGCCAGTTGTGCTATCTCTGTGCTACAGGCTAAAGCACAGAGAAGCTGGTATCACAAAAACAATTAAATATATGACAATTTTCAAAAGAAAGCAGCAACTGTACAGTTTAAGGAAAAGCATTCAATACTTTCCTGTAACTGTTTTCCAAGAAAGTGTGCACAGGAGAACACCTCTTACTTGCAAATATAGTAAGGAAAGTAATTACCATTCCACCTCACCATGTGGTGTTCTGTTCATCCATCCATTCAGTTTCTATCCACTTCCAGTTCAGGGTCACAGGGCAGCTGGTGCCTATCCCAGCAAGCAATGGGTACAAGGCAGTGTACACCCTGGATGGGACACCAGTCCATCACAGGGAAAATGGACAACAACACGCACACACAGCCACACCAGGGCCAATTAACCTATTAGTATCTTTCTGGACTGTGGGACAAAAGTGGTTCAATCAGAAGAAACCCATATGAACACCTGCACTAAAAGGCAGCAATGCTAGCCACTGCACCACAGGCCTGCCTTGTTCATTTTATTTAAATATACTTAAAAAAATATTAAAGTCTTTTAATACCTCACTCTGTTCATCATGAACTCTTCACTCCTCATGCTTAATGATGCATCATGTTGCATCATGATGGAGGTGGAGTTAGAGCGAGCATGTGGGGAAGGATGGGCCTCTTTGGCATCCAGGGTGGTAGGATGACTGTTAGATACCCTGCTGAGCTTTTCTGACAGCACAAACTTATGCAGGTGAAGTAATCCTACACTAAATATTGGACGATGGTAATGTCCACAAGTCTAGAGCAAAAACCATTGGAGCTTATTTTGAACAGAAGGTGACAAAGTGCATGGAGTTATCAGAGGAACCTCTGGACCTTATCACAACTGAACATACAGGGAAAATGATACTGAAATTAAGAACAACCCACACCGTGCAAAGCAACACTCCACTTCTATTCAGTGGCGTATTAAAGTGTCACTGTGACTTGTGCTAGATAATTTCTAGTTATGATCCTGTACAAGTGCGCAGGATCTTTTAAAACTACTGTAGTTTTCAATTTTTTTTTGTTTTTAACCTTTGTTCTGGCAATGGGAACAGAAGGTTCCCGGTGCCTTTGGAGTCAAGTAAATGACTTAATGAATATCATATTATTATGCATAATGTTCTTCATGTTAAACTGAGTATTAGCATTCTCGGCTTTTCATAAATGGCACAGAATGAAAATCCTTTTGGTCAAAAATCTAGACGCCGAGAGAATACTGAATAATGAAAGGTTGAGGGCACACATTTGCTGCTGAAGGTGCTCCAGGACTTTATTCAACTGTATTGTGTTTGAAACTGACTTGGTCTGAAATTGTTTCCACTTAGCCCTTTTGCTATGTGAAGAGAATGATAAAGTCCCCCAGGTAAGTGGAAGGAAGCAGTTAACAAACAAGAGGTGAGGTACTGTACTTACAGTATGAATAACTAATCCATGAATCATTTAAAAAAGAGGAGTTTAAAAGACTGATTGCTAATTAAATGCTTTGTGTTTTTGCATTCACATATCCAGTTTTCCTCCTATTACATTTTCAAGTAAACTCTTTAAAAATGGATGGTGTAAAGAATGTTTTTTTTATTAATGTCTTGTTCTTTTCTTAGCAACCATTATAAAGGACTGAGTTCTTCTTCACACTTTTACATAGCTGGGTGTTACGAGTCAAATTCATCACAACTCCTAATTTATTTATTAGCGATCTATGAATCTTTTTAAAGCATTTCATGTGTAATTAATGACAGTGTATGACTAAAGCCATGTTAGGATGGTGTACTGTGTGTTGATCTCATATTCTGTACATCTTCAGGAAAAAAGATAGTTATTTAATAATTTAGCACTTATGCAAAATATAAAATGATAAAAGGCAACCAATGAATGCTTTTGTTGGTTATTAAATTCTGAACTCATATAGGGCAGGTTGAGGTGAAAGTCTGAAATGTCCTCTCTCAACAGAGTATTGAGGAAATATCTGAATATCAGAGAACAATAAGAAGATGATTTCATCTACAGAGCTCCAATATAAGAAAACTAGATGTCAGTACATTAGTATCTGTAATACTGTACACAACTGCTTGATATTTAACACATACCTTCAATTGTACTGTTCAGTGTTATTGTGAATGTTCATCTACAGTATATATAAACATTTAACCCCATACCTTTTGTAAAGAGAAATCAGAACAAAAAAAGTCAGAGGAGATACATCAGTATGCCAAGTGTAAAGAAAGAAGTTTACTTTCTTGCTGCAAAGTAAAAGGAAAGAAGCAAAAACACAACATTGTGGCTATAGAGTCCTCCTCAGGTGTGCAGTGAAAGGAGCAGGACACAACAGTGAAAATGCATTGCATGAAACTCATTGAACTCAGTTCATTGAAGTAAAGTTACAGATGATACTTCTTCATGATTATTAACGAACTCCATCATGCTAAATCCAGGAGAGCGTTTGCTCTTTCTAATGTCATCTGGACATAGTTTCGGACATTTTAAACAACACTCAAAGTGGCAGGGGCAAAGATCAGACCTAGGACCTACTGTACGAAAGGCCTACGACCTTGGACATAGGGTTTGTAATGCACTAGACTTCATTTACAATATATGGCAAGTGCAATCAAGTACATTCTCCTATACTGTCAGGCTAAAATACGCGAACTTGTTCAGTAATAAACACAGACGTTTATGAGGGACCTGGATCAAGAGTTCATAACCCTCACAGGTATTGACAAAGTCAACCCAGTGGACTTTATCAGAGAGAGCAATGAAATATGAGCCAAGGGGCACGAGCTGACTAAGAGGAAGAATGTGTAAAACTGCAAACGGCTGGCAGTTTTGTGTAACACTAAATGTAACACTAAAACCATAAAAATCAATTAACAAAAACGGGATTACCTTGCTGCGAATTTTGCTGCGACGTTTTGTCTTTAATTTGTCTGGACAAGGTGTTGGTCTTCTAGTATTATAATACTACAGAGAACACATAAAAGGTAACGATTGACGTTTGTGACTTTAACCTTCTGAAAAAAACACTTAATACCTATTTTAACAACAAATCAAGAAGGGTCTACGCTTCAGTGCACAATCAGCGTCACGTGTTGTATTAAACGTCAAGCACCGATAATGTTAAACGTTTTGAAACACTCATTCTGCATCGGGTTTTTTTTTATTGAGAAAGATGAATCCAGTCACTTCAAAACATTGGATATTATCCATTAATGATAAACACGCTCTGAATCTTCTTTGTGGCAAGCGCTTTGCGCTTTCGTTGGGCTGTAATGAAAATGAACCGAGGGACAGACAGACGGCAATTTTAAAGAATTAGGGCTTACATGTTGGAATAATACAATGTAAGTGTACTGTATTGCTGCATTATTATTCGTGAGAATTTAAGAAACGAGCAATAAGTATAAGTATTAATTATTTCCTCAGTCTCAGGGAGATTTTACAACCGTGGGGCGTGTAAAGAGTTAACTCAAACTATTCCCTCTGTCGCACTCGGAGCTAGGCGGGGTTTACTCGCACATTGCGTTGCTGGCTGCAAGTGTTGTACAAGCAGCGCGGCAGTAAATCTGGGTGAAGAGTTGTTGTCGGTTGCACTTGGGAACCTCTACGGAGTGAGTCATGTACCTGGTCTGAAACAACCTGAATACCTCTGTGACCGAGTTGCAGCAGGATTATGCCGGACGCAGAATTAACAGTTGCAGCGGATAAAAGTTTACCCGAATCGGGCAGTTCCCACGAGACCAGGCAGAATATGGTAAATAGACTGTTCACTATTAGCTTTTATTTCGTCTTTTTTTTAATTATTTCGAGAAGATCAATGTTGTCTTATAACTTCGATCGTTCAGACGGGTTTATTTATTTATTGAAAACAGTAAACACTAGACGAAATGAGTCCCCAAACATCGTTAATTTAAAAGTAGGGGGTTTCCAGGATTTTTAAAGGGTATAATACTACGGGTTGCTTTCTTAGCTCTAAAGGAGTGCGAAATTAATAGGCTCTTACACGCGAGAAATGAATAAAATTACACTATACCGACTCAGTGCCTGTACACACTGGCCCACATACCCATAGTGTGTATACGGTATAGAAAAATCGTAATTCGTGGGTTGTATATGCATTTATTGCGCTGGTGCTTTGTCTCATCGTTGCTATACATTTATTATTTTTTATTTCAATACTGAAGTCCAAGGACAAGCTCTTGGCTACGCGTTTGTGTTCCACCCTGCTTTTACACTCAATGTGTGTTTGTTCCTCATGCATGTTTTTGTATCTTGTTTTGGTTGTGATAGTGAAAGCGCTGCTATTTCAAAATATTTTGAGCTCGTTCTTACTGCCTATGCAAGCGTTTAGACACAGCAACACGTTGGTCTGTATAGGTGAGACATTGTGAAGAAGCGAGAAATAAGCTGTCCTCCAGCCGACTTCTTGTGGCCCGATGATTTCAGTTCTGTGCTGAGTACTAAGGCAGGAGTGTTTTATAGTTGATTCTCCGTGATGATTTCATACGGAGTATGAAATATATGAAAGTCTCTTGTTGTGTACAGAAAAAAAAAGATCGATATGTAACATCACCCATTATTAACTGTAACTTAACTTGAGGGTATATGTTCCATATGTTTAAAACAGCATTTAAAATCTTGATTGTGACAGCGCTGTGTCGGATCTAAATGCTAGGTGGAAAGCCGATTTTGTCGATTAATAATACTGCAGACGTATTTCTAATTTAAGGTTAACACAGAATCACCAGAACAGCAAAATTAACGGCTGCTCTTTTGTGTAGGTAATTATGGTCTAGATTAGTAGCCTAGGAAGAGCCTCATTCACTGTTCAGGTGCGGCTATGGTGCAGTACATCTCAACACCTGAAGATTTAAACACTGGATAAACCAGTAGTCTCTGAACAGCTGACAGTTTACCTGTTGGCTCTCTAGAGGCTTGAAGCTTTAGCGCTGCAGATGTGAGTGGTAGTTTGCGACTCGCTTCAGTTGTCTGCAGACTCATTTCGTTAACTTGATGACCACAAGACTCTCGGCAGCGTTTTAGATCAAAGAGCGTATTGTAGGACTCTGGATACAGTAGATTAAGGCACATAACTGAAATAACGATCTCGTTGTTACCATTTTCTACCAGAAAAGCGAAACAAAATTGAATTTATGCTGGAAATTATCCAGATACCGTAATCACTAACAGCGAGTTACACACAAGTCTTGAAGAAATCGCAAAAGCAAGTCGAAAATGAAATTATCACCATGTCCACCACAATGCCTTAGATAATGTAAATTCTCATTTATGTAAACGTACCAGTGATTTATATATTTGTTCTGAGTTTTAGTGGCAAATTGCTTCACATGAGCTATTCTTGTTAACGTATCAATGGTCTTTCGATGTTAGAAAACGTCAAATATATACAGTCTAATACTACTTACAGTTGTGTCACCTGTAATTAGTAATACTTGGCAATATTTACTGACATTTTGAATTTAGAAAACATTACAATCATATTAGATGTTTTACATGATCGTTTTAAAAAATTGCACTGTAATTAGATTTAATTGAAATTACACCTGCAGCGTTTTGAAAACCTCTCTCTTTTGGACATTTGTTATCATTAGTATGTGTTAGACCACTTTGTATTTGGGAGGAAATTCTATATTCAGGGTATGAATTTCTTTATAAAGGCTTTCAAACCTTAGGACACTTAAGTCCTGATAACATTTTAGAGATCTGCATACACAGCTACAGTATGCATGTGTGGTGTGCCAAAACAGTTTTCTGTAGTATAAAACATATTCTTGTTTTGTTTGCAACAAATCTTTGTCATCGATTTTTGGTGCTTCTAGAACAGGGAAAAACAATGACTGTGTTTTGCAATAAAGAGCACTAAGAATTGCTTTCGTGCGTCTACGGTGTACTGGTTGCAGTTTCATTTTAGAAAAACAGCAAGGATTGTATGCACTACCTGAATGCAACAGGTATTGTTTATTTACTCCAGCCTGCTACTTAACTTATTCACATTATACACATGTTATACAAAAAGGTTAAGAAGAACATTTTAGAACTTTTGCACAAGGATAAAACTGTACTCAGAGAGCAAAGTTTGTTTACCAGGTAGTGAGAATTTTTCTGTGACCTGTAATCTTGGCAGTCGCTCTTGATGTTTCCTTCTACTCCATTTACATTACCATTTATCATTACAGTACCATTTACAGTGATAGCAGTTCATGGCCTCACTTCCAAGAGACTAAAATTATGCAATTAATTCAGTTTTAATAATAATAATATTACTAATAATAGCTTACACTTATATTCCTGGACACTCCATTCAAAGCGCTTTACAGGTAATGGGGACTCCCTTCCACCACCACCACCAATGTGCAGCATCCACCTGGATGATGCAACGGCAGCCATAGTGTGCACAGTTTGCTCACCACAAATCAGCTCTCAGTGGGGAGGAGAGCAGAGTGATGAAGGAAATTCATAGATGGGGATTATAAGGAGGCCATGATTGGTAAGGGCTAATGGGAAATTTGGCCCAGACACCGGGGTTACACCCCCTTCTCTTTTCGAGAAACAACCTGGGATTTTTAATGACCACAGAGAGTCAGGACCTCGGTTTTACATCTCATCCAAAGGACGGCGCCTGTTTACAGTATAGTGTCCCCACCTATACTGGGGCATTAGGACCCACGTGGACTGCAGGGTGAGCGCCCCCTGCTGGCCCCACTAACACCGCTTCCAGCAGCAACCTTAGTTTTTCCCAGGAGGTCTCCCATCCAGATACTGACCAGGCTCAGACCTGCTGAGCTTCAGTGGGTTGCTAGTTGTGAGTTGCAGGGTGATATGGCTGCTGGTGCATAGTTTTCATGCAGTTTGGACTGGGGAAATGAATGTATGTTGGATGGAATAAAAACCACTAGGCTCTGTGCTTTACCTTATCGAAACATTGGTGTGCTGATCTGAAAGTGGTGGAAGTGCCCACACGTTCATCTGTACACGGCATGCATACAGTATTTTTATTTTTTGACAGTACTTCAATTCCTTGATTTTGTTTTTCTGCTTTGTGTAGCTGGAGGATGGACAAATTCAGCGGGGATGGTTCTAATTTGAAACAGCTGGAGTTGCAGGAGGGAAACTATGCGTAGTTGGCAGGAAAGTCAAAGACAAAGAATACTTAGATGTAGTTTGTGTCCTTCATTTCCTTGGCTGAATTCAGCATCTCTCAACTGCTTTCCACGCATTTCTGATTGGTTTGTGCTGTTCTACTAAGGTATTTTGGAAAGGAATCAATGTCATTATTTTTATTGGTCTTGCACGTCTCATTTCAGGAAACGCATGAAAAGCATTTTGCATAATAAGCAAACATTATCTTAGTAGATAACCTCAGGGATTGCGATATATTTCTGGCATGTGGAATTTGCATTTAGGTGAAGTACAGAGAAAGGAAAACCTAGTTTTGAATCTTTTCAATACTTAAAGACACCTTACTTAAGAAGACACTCATCATAAAGGTTTAAAACTATTTTAATGAAACCATTGTTTTAGTGTTGGTTTTCAATGTACAGTAGTTTTAGGTTATGGTAAAACTGTTTTGTATCATGTCAAAGAGTCTTCCTTTTAGTTTCCCTTATATACATATACAGTAAATGTCTGAAAGCTTATGTAGCATAGTTTTAGTTCAGTATTCTGTATAGTGTTATTAATACATGTTTCTGAATAGTATTTCAGCCAATCAGGTGATTAAAGGAGTTAGGAGGATTGAGGTCTTGCCAATTGTCAGCTGAAGTCTTGTCTTGTGAAGCAGTCTGACATGCTGCAAGCCATGTTACTACTCTTCTTCAAACACACTTATCTGTAAGTATTCATTTTTTAAATATATATAAATGACCTTAAAGTGAAATGCTGAATGTGAAAAGAGCACAGGAAAAAAATGAAGGCATCCAATAGCAGTAATGATACTTAACGTTTCTTCGAAAAGGTGTCAGTAAGATTTTTAAACTAGTCTTGTTCCGTATTAAAAACAATACATATGAAATTCTCTTAGTCAGAGAAGAAAGGTTTGGAAAATAAGACTCACAACTAACACAAGCCTGTGCTTGTTTAGTTTCTTGGTACAATACAGGGAGATACACAGTTCGGTTACATTGTGATTTCCTCCTATCTGAAAGAGCTATCGAAACCTGAGTGTGGAATTGTAAACAGGGAGAAATCAAAACAGATACTTAACTCTTGTAGTTTCATAAGGAAAGGTTCTGGAAATAGGTTCTGGAAAAAGGAAAGGAAATAATCACCATCTTATGTGAAGGTGGTGATTTCATCATGAAATTGATGCTTATCAGATATACAGTATCAACTGTTGCTTCGTGAGACATTTAAGTTCCTGAAAATTCCCTCACAATAACATCACATAGTCAGTACTTCCCGTATTGGGGACAACCCCCGCTCCTTCAAGGATGGATGAAATCCCCTTGAAGTCCTGCCTACCAGACAGTGATCATTTGGAGTAACTAGACAGTCAAGCCTAACCTGCTTGTCTTTGGGAAACCAGAATTCCTGGAATTATGGTGCTGTATGACAGTAGTTCTGATCACCATGCCAGAGTACCAACCCCCTACAATTTTATTTTCTGCTTATATTTTCTTGAAAAGGTGTTAGATAAGTGTTTTACTCCATGTTTAGTTTTTTATATAAATTCTTCGAGTCTGATTTAAAATATTTAATGTAAAATTAAAATAAAATATTTTAGGGCACTTTATA